CTTATTGATTAGATTGGTAAGACAAAGATCTCGGTTTGTTTTCTGTTTGTGATACTGGTACTCATAATACATGTGCCAAGGTTGCATGAGATCTTGCAAAACTGGTGGTACCAGGAACAGCTGAAGTATTAGGGACCATTCCCAGACCCTTTTGTACTAGCTTTGGATTGATCTATCTCCTAGGGGATTCTCACTAAATTGCAATCAACTTAAGCGGCGTAGATGTCTGTCATGCCCACTGAAGCTGATAGGGAGTAATTAGCTATTGTTTATCTGCTTTAGTAGGCCTGACAAACATCTAAGCTGCTTAAGCTGAAAGCAATTTAGCGAGAAACCCCTCGGAGATAGACCGATCCTGTTAGTTCAATCTAGGTATGGGAACTGTCTTACACATATAAAATATCTGGCTTTTGAGTCGACCAGCTTATGACTAATTTTCTGTATTTACTTTCTTGTATTAACCGTTGTATTTATGGTTTGCTGAAATGTTTTTGTTTCTAATTCATTATTTCTAATTCATTATCAGTACCACAAATGGAGAAAATTCAGTCTTTAATGGTTTTGTATACTAGTAGTTATTAGGCAGGGACTCAGTCAGTGTGTGTATGTGTGTGTGTGTGTGTGTGTGTGTGTGTGTGTGTAAAATACAAGTAGAAAATATATATTGTTTGTAAACATGTTTTCACAGGTGACTAGATTGCTTTGTTTATAAGTAGATTAACTTAGAAATAACACAGACTAACTAAATAATTCCAGGTAAATCAGATCTGTCAGCATGCTTTAATTTGCTTAGAGGTGTTGTGGAGGTCCCTTTGGAATGTGGAAGTCTGAAGGTGGTATGAATTTATTTTTTAGTTGAATTAAAGCAGTTATAAGCATAATTTTCATTTGCAGGTCACTGACTTTTCATCCCAACACTGCTATAAATACACACTAATTGCTATGTGTGTATAATTTAAACAGATTTACCTGTCTTAAGATTATTGTAATAAATCCTATTATGTCATAGGGAGTTGGTTGTTTTTCCTTATCTTTTCTCCACTAAGTCTTCTTAATTAATCTTGTGTTTTTAAAGGCAGCTCTATTTCAAGTGTATATATTAGTAGATAACACCAGAAGCTGGGCTCTGGCTTGCATGTAATTTGAGATTGAAGAAATGTAATTGCAGTGTATTATTATGCCCCCCTAATAAGTCGTAATTAGCTTTGCAGTTTAGACTTGTAGTTGTTAAAGAGTACAAGTGTGCTGTTGTGTGTTACTACTATGCCAAGGTGTTAATAAGGTGTTGATGCCAACCGGGTTGAATTCTCCAGATCAGGCCAGGCAAAATTGATAAGTTAGTTAACGTGTAGCAACTCTTGTAACAAGGTTGGAGAATAGAAATTATTCTTGTTTTTGATTTTTTGAAGCATAATGATGTTTAATGGGCATAGCAGCTAATTGAAAGGGTTTGGTATTTTTTCCACTTGCAAAAAAAAAAAAAAAAAAAAAAAAGGTGAGCTCTCAACAAAAGGGTAAGTCTTGCCATTAACCAGCTAGTCAGTTTTGTCTAGCCTTTCCATGTTTTGAGATTGTTTTTGTTGTTTGCCATTTATTTTTGCAAACTCGGCAAGCTAGCAGATTTTAATTTTTTTGTTATGTTATATCCTATTCTGTTCTATTCTGATGAGCCTTAAGGCTGAATGATGAGATAATGAAATGAAAATAAATGACAGATGATGAGCATTTCATTTGGCTTATCAGAGATGAACTGGCTAATCATTTATTAAATTATTAATATATCTAGGGCCATGCTACCTTATTGTAGTTTCAGCTGTGTTGAAATTTTTTTGCAGAATTGGTATTGAATATTGCTGAAAAATGCATTTCAACATTACTTTTGTCTGTTGCTGTAGAAGTGGAAAGTGTTTGGGGGGCCAATTTGTTGTTGACTTGGTGGAAAATTAGTTTGATACTGGCTAAAGCTAAAAACAAAGTGCTAGACTGTATCTAGCAGATAGTCTGTCCTTGCCGAGGACAAACTGACCTGCTATTTTGCCTCACTTAACCCTGTCAGAAGGAACAGAACGTGTAACCTTTTAACAGAAATGGCTGACATTTTCCACAGGATTGTCTAATCAGGGCTGCTAGATTAAGACCAATGTTTCATAAAATTGAAGGATTGCACTTGTTTAAACTGTTTGTGCAGGTTACGAAATCTTAGGGCTCCTTTAAGGCCATGCACAGACTCGTTTAAATCCACAATAATTTTTCATTGTGAACATGTCAACAGCTCACAAATTTTATTCAAAAGAGAAATTTATGTCTGAAGTATGGTGAGGACTTTAATCTCACCCTCTATTTTCACCATTGTAGCTCATGTTAGGATTAAGTATTAACTTTAAGTGGTTAAAAAGCAAACATGGTTTAGCATATCTATTAACAAAAATATTATAATATAAATCAGATGAAAAGACCTTGAGGTAGAAAATAATGCCCAGTTTATGTGCCGATTCAAGGAGCTTTCCTTTTTCTTCACTCTTAATCTTTCTTCATCTTAACTGTAAGAATTTGTTTAAAATGTTAAAACATATATTCAAATATTGGCAAATGCTGGAACACGAACATTACTTGGGCACTTTGTGTGTTTTGTATAGTGGGAGAGCATAGTTGTAGCTTTCCTTTACCTGAAATGGGATAAATGATGATCAATTTATTTTTTTCTGATTTTGTTAGGCTTAAAAAATGAGACAAAATTTTGGTAGGAATATAAGACAAAAGACACTGGCAATAAATTGTAAGAAATTGTTGGGACCAAAAAGATTTTTAAAAAGTCCAAAATGCAATTTGATACAGTATTTTAAATAAAATGATAAACTGATATTGACAATGGGCAAGAAAGGGGCAGTGCATCAAAAATGTCATCAAAATCTGTTTCATGGAGTATTTCACTCTGGTAACAAGCCCCCAAGGTCTGTTACTCTGTGTAGCACGCCTGAAGGCTGTTCACAGCTGATGGTACTGTCAGGCAAGCAGTTAGGGTAGGGCATGAAACCAAAGACCAAATCAATAGTGTGACAGGAACCAAAGGAATTGAAATTTCCTGGAAAGTGTTAATCATTTCCTGCCATCCTTCTGCAGACTCTGTTGAGAGAAGAAAAAAGAAAAGTGAATCTTTAGAGTCAGATGACTGTGTGGTTTGGAGTTGTTAAATGGCTGCACATCGCTGGGGAAGATTGCTGAGAAAAAAGGCGTTCCACTATGTGATATCAGGTATTCAGTTTCCAATCATTATGATATATAGTCTAGAGTCACTGCACAGTTGGCAAGGTATCCAAAGTGACAGCCCACTGCAACTTATAACTCGCATGTGGGGCTTCATTATTTGCTGGCCAATTTATTTATTTGTGTTTATGCCATGATCGATGGACTCCTTACATCAGCTTATTTACCAATAAAGTTGCACACATGCATGATTCCTCATGATTTGTGTTTGTGGGATGAAAGGGTCCAGAGGTGGTTGGGGGGGGGGGGGGCAGTGGAGATAATAATAAGTATATGGATACATATATATCACCACATGAAACTAGTATCAATGGTAAATCTCTAACTGGTGCACATGTTTTCTACGTATCCCTAGAGAGAGAGACTAGTTTCTCAAGAAAGCGATCTTTAAAGAGTGTCAGACATCGACTTTTCAGTCTCACCAATGCTTTTTGCACATCAGCTAGTTGTAGTGTTTTGACAGACTTGCTTATGAAGATCAGCATATATACTAAATATTTCTTCTTTTTGCACAAATCTGAGTCTACTTTTCCATGTTCATCTCGGAAAGCAATAAAAAAACGGGTTTGTACTTTGGTTATCAGTTAGTTTCACCTGTTTTCCTGTTGTTAAAAGAGGGAAATTTGTGTGGGAAGGGGGTGAAAAAAGCAGATTCACAGAATCGTTATGTAACTGATTTTATCTCTCTGCCTTTTTTTTTCTTTTGTAATTGCACATCAAGGCAAACAGCAGCCTGTTTTGCAGTGCTGGAACAAGACCCAGATACTCATTATTTTCAAGGACAAGTTATCAAAGCTAGTATAGTTCATTGCTTTGAAGGGATTATTTCCTTCGTAGCAATATAATTTTGAGCTCATATCTTTTAATCAGAATCCACTCAAAAGCACAGAAACAGCTGCAATTTCCTGGAATGAACCGGATAATTTGCTTGAACTTTCTATGGAGGAGCTCGTTTCAACTTTTTATGAAGGAGGTTTTCAAATTAGCCATTATTTGGGCCAGGCATTTCCCCAAAATATGCCTCTTAATTGTAGATAACAATTTGGCCTTTATGAAAAGTTATCTTGAGAAAAATAAATCAGGTAATGAAATGACATTTATAATCAGTCAGTGGCACACAGGTAGACTGATGAATAAGTTTATGGTTAATGAATAAGGAGTTACAGACAGACTATATTTGCTATTTTCACTAGTTTTGCAGAAATTCTTGCCAATATGTTTCCGAAAAATAAAAAAAGCCCTGCAGTGTGGTGGCATATTGACAACAACAACAACAAAAAAGCTCTGCAATGTGGTGGCATCTTTTGTGGAGAAACTAATTACATATCAATATACAGTAATTAACTGTGCCTGTAAGACAGACACATGATCTAGGTAATCTAGAACATGCCTCATTACTCATTTAATTTTGATTCAGATAAATCGTTTAATCCAGCAGTAGGTTTTTAGCCTATAAAAGATCACAGATAATTGACCCAATTATTTATGCAGTGTTTGGTGACTGAAGACAGAGTTTGGTCATCTTTTAACTCATACTATACCTCAATCATATATTGCAGATGAGGACGTCCTCATTTGCTGCCCAAACACCCTTCTGTATATGTTGGATCCAACAATCCTGATTTGAGAATTTATAACTTCAAATGTATACTTGAATGTCACATTTAGGCTTATCTTTGGTTATAAAAATGTGGAGATTATCTAGTACATGTCTGTTATCAAGCATCTACTTTTTGAAAATTATTAAAGCTAAAACTGCACGGAATGCATCCCCAGACTGTCTACTGCATTCTCATAGGGATACAATCCATTTTTGGTCTCAGATTTTAGGTTGGTGAACTACAGTCTTTTCCTCTGACTGGAACCCGACTTCATAATTGACCAGTACACCTGTTTACATACTAACGCGCCTCCGAAACCCAAGTCCTAATTTTTTACAGATATCTGGAACAGGATACGAAATAATTTGTACAGCAAATTACATCATCTTTTGACCCTGAGAAGAGGATTGGTAGGAAAAGCGGACGAGGAAACTTTCCTAGCCCGTAGAGATGGCCACCTCAGTGCTGTTTTGATAGTGTCAACCCTAACCACCACACAAAGCCAGGCCTAAGATTTGTAGAATACAATCAAAACATAGGTCCACTGTGTCTTACATGCAGTTCAGAAATTGTTTTTAAAACTTATTTTTTTGAAAATGGGATTTGTCAGGCATATTGATCGTAGAATGCCCCACTGGATTACTGTGCTCACTTGTGCTGCTCTCGTGTCTACTGGCAAATCTTCACTTAATATTTCCCAGGTTAGCAGACAACAAACCCGCTACACAGGGTTAATGTAAGAAGTTGTTTTTGCTTGTTGCTGACAGTAATAAGGATAAAATTGACCAGAATTAGTCAGTTGAACCTCATGACTGAAGGGGATTTTACAGGTTTAAGATTATAGCAAGGAACAGGGGAAAAAAACAATTATGTTCAGAGGAAGACTTGGAAATATTGGGCTTGTTTTCCAGCAGATGATCAGATAAAAGCAGATACCCAGATAAAAAGAGACAAGTCAGTAAATTGATGGTCAATCAGGTTTGGTCATCTGGTGTTGAACTTTGTGCGATTTCCAGTTGAAAACAAGTCCTCTGCTGCTGGGATGTGTAGCCATTAAAAGAGCTGGGATATCCAGTTTGTTTGAGAATCTGCAAGGGATTTGTAGTCTGGCTGATAGACCAGGAGAAGTAGGTGATGATTCATTACCCTGAATTGTGCATCTTATTATTTCAGGTTGATTGTGGGCCAATAGACGAATTACCCTGCACAGACAGCTGAGGTTACAGTACTGCTATTCTTCTCAGGGGTCCAAATGGAGGTCCAGCGCATCCAGAGACTGTCAAAATGACACTGAGGGGTGATGGCTGCCCATGGAGGAGCAACTGTCCTGGCGGCAATCAACAGTCGTCTGCCAGCAGACTGGGCGGCAAAGTTGAACAGTGATGGGAGGATCTATTATATCAAGTAAGGAGATAAATTTAGGTATTTTTCAGTAAACCAAAACTACTTGTATGGTGGTATATTTACCTCTTGAATAATAGAGCAATTTGTGTATGGTATATTGCTGGATGTATTTATAAACTCTGTCTTGATAACAGTAAGTCCTGCCAACATCGTTAAATTTGACTTAGTTTTGGTCTGTCTGAAACCAATATGAACAACCTCTGTACAATATGATGGTTTAATAACACATTACAATGACAATAGATATTTATGTTTGGAATTGAAATATACTTATTCAGTAAACTACAATGTATCTCTAAAGAGTTGGTTAAGTAGAAGCAATTACAAATTTGAGTTTTTTAGGATCTGTTGTGGAATAAATTTATGAAAAATTTCTTGTTGTCAGGCCAAAAGACCTCTTTCTGTATAGTAACTTTGATTAAAGACCAGGAATTTTTTTTTAGCATTTTATTGTTTGTACATATGTTTTCAATTCCTCCACCTGTAACTTGTGCACCCAACTGTTTTTTCTGATCATCATTACCAGGAACTGTTTGCTTAATCTTCCCTAATGTCAGCTAGAGTAAGGGTCTCGGGAATTTGCTCCCATTGATAAAACACATTCATGGAAGCCAGATGGACTGAAGGATTTGCCATTTTCATTGATTATTACTTCCATTAAGAGTCTTTTTCCATATCTTGACTCCGAAAAAAAAATAACGTTGTTATTGTGTTTGTGCATTGAGTGGAGTATTCCAGTTCTCAGCATCTTGTAGCCATCCAGGCCAGCTCCAAGGATTAAAACCACTTATTCTATCTGTATAATGGGATAAATTCATCGATTGATTGATTAACCTGGTAATTACATTGTCTTTGACATCTTTTCAAGTCACCACCAAGATAAAATGATATATATTTCAGAAAGAAGAAGGCAGCTCAAGGACTAGAAGGAGATTGTCTGTCTTAGAAATATATTAGGAAGAAAGGCTCTGAGGTCGATGATTTATTTGATTGTCTTATGTGTTAATAACCAAGGTGGTGAAATATTCAGATCATTAGGATTTCTTGTTTCAGATCTAGATATTAGCCATCAATTATTGACTTCTCTGTGCACAATCACTTGGAAAGTTAACTTCTAATGGTCTTTCTCTGAGTCCTGTAGACACTTATGGCTCAGATAAACAGAAGTTGTTTTGGTTTAATTTACTTTAAATATTACATCTTCTGTGTGGAAATAAATGGAAGAAGCGTCCATGCATTAGGAATCAAAAACTTTTAATGAGGCTGCATAAGAAAAAATGTGTCTGGCATGTACTGTGCAGATTCTAGTTTGGATTACAGTGAGTGCTGGGGATGTCTTATAGGCTTAATTTGAATTTGTCTATCTGAAACCTGAATAAACAACACAGGTAGCATATGATTATGACTTAATAAGACATTATGATGACAGCAGACATACAGACATACTTAGGATCACATGTACAGACTCTAAAAATGTATTTAGGGCATGTTATACCTTTCAAATCACACTTAAAGTTCCTGTGGTTCTACCATCACAACTAAGTTCAGCAGGGATGCCCATTGCCATTTACATAATGGTTAAATAGTTGAAAGTTATAATCCCACTTAAGGGGTACCGTAATTACTAATAAAATTTGGACAAAATTGCATCCTATTTTCCCAGAAAAGTGTTATTTTCATTTGTAATATCTGTTAGAAACGGAACTTTTTCAGGTTAAGAGTAATTAGCAGGGATAATTTTAGTGTGTTACTGTGAGTGACTAAAAATAAAAAAGGTGTGAAAGTGTGGAGTTTTAAAAAAAGTAAGCTGCTGGAAACATGTGAATGATTACTGTAGTTTAAGACACAATCCCTTTGTAGTTGGCGATTTGTTACTCTCCACACTGTAGGCGCAGTTTCTCAGCCATTAAAATGCCTGGAGAACTAATTTTTGTCGACTTCTTGTGCTGTGTTTTTGACCAGGAACATTTTACTTTTAAAACTGTTCTCAGCATGGCTGTAGCATGTTCATCAAGGGCAAGCTATGGGATTCCAGGGAAGAACTGTCAGTTCCAGTTTACATATCTTCAGCTTTCATCTATATTTTGATTGAGAAAATTGTATGAAGTTAACCAATAACAGGCGTCCCTTCCCACCTGAGAAGTTGGAAATTGGCAATATGAATTTATATCATAGAGAAAATCTCAAATGGAGTAGTCTTTTAAGGTTAGTGAAATTTTCTGAATGAAGGGATATTTTGATGAGAGTAAGAGAGTGAAACAAAGAGGGAGAAAGTTAAGTCAGTCAGCCTATTTGTTAAAGTTTGAAAGCATTTATAGAGAGTTGTTTGATGTACTCATAATTTATTGATCTACTTTTGGGAAATCTTAACCCACTTTTGAAAGATGAAACACAAACAAACACAGAAACATATATTCAGTATGTTTTTGAAGGGGACAAAAGTTTAAACTTTGTTTCTATGTTTATTTTTCTGAATTAATTGAATACCTGTCCTAGTGTGTTTTTCTTTCATGAATACCTTTCACTTCCATACACGTGCATATCTAGATGAAAGCAACTCCATGTTGCTGATCATGATTGAATATAAAACAAATATATTTTGATGTGAAAATTATTGCACTGTATTATTGATTTTGTTTGTTTTGATGCAGGTTATGCAGTGTCTCCACTTTAAATATTACCAATCTGATTGTTTTGTAATTAAATTAAGATTTTGTTAGATAAAGATTGGATGCAGTAGCAGCCCTTTAGGCTGGTTAACCTAGTTTGAACAGACTTAACTCTTGACTAGGAAAAGGTCCACTCAGAATCAAAATTGGATTACTTTCTATGCAAGTGCTAAAGCACTTTTCTGAGTTCTAGGCTTTGCAGTAAAAAGCCCCCCCCCCCCCACCCCACACACACACACACACACACACACACACACACACACACACACTCTTTGAAATTTCTGGCTAGAGGCATCTCATTCCTACAAAATTTGCTGAAATGATTTTATTGAATTTGAAGTTTTGCAGCTTGAAATTGTAATTGAATCTCTACAAAATGATATGCTACTATAATGTCACTTAATTTTATTATCATTATTGTTTGAGATTGAGTATTAAGTTATATTTGTGGAATCTTAATTGCTTGTGATCATTTTTTTCTATTCTTTTCTCTATCTTTTTTTGATTATGTAAAGAAGAGGAAAAACATTAGTAAATAATATAAAAGTGAGGTGTAGCAGTACAGGATAGGAAGCGTATCTAATGTCCTGGGCGTGGAGGTTTTAGTTCTGTTAATGGGACATTATCTAGTTATCTCCTGTGTGACCTTGCTGCCCAGTCAAACCAGGTGACAAAACTTCCAGCATAAAACACCTGCCATTGTCATAGACAGAAGGACACTTTTTTTTTTCATTATTTCAATTTTGTGTACTGGTACTTTAATTTGCCACCTTAGAATTGTTGAGGACCAGTGTTTGCCTCTTACGAAAATTAGTTGCTGGACCGAAAGTCCAGACATCTTGAAAAGTAGCTGGACTGAATGTCTGCCGGGTGGGAAAACTTCTCAGCCCGTTCTGAAAGTTGTCAGCCCCGGGCAGACGGTCCAGCCTTAATTTCTAACACTGTTGAGGACACCACAGAAATTTATGAACTGTATGTTTTCACACCCTAATTCCAGTACTTGTATACTCTTCCTTTGAATAGATTCCTTCGTTAATAAAAGAAAAAAGTATAAGGACATTTACGGACGGCATGGCTTCTCCTTGGCAACACTACAAAACTTTCAGTTAATAATGTAATGGATTCTTTGGCTAGATGCTTTAAGGATTTGTTTTGTTTTGCTTATAAAGGTGCTTTTCTTGTCCAGTTGTACCTGTTTATCTTAAGAACTGCTTACCAAACTGATAGTAATTTCTAACCCTAAGAACCCAGTTTTATAGCACATGACTTAGCTAACTACGTTTGCTATGGATTAAACAATGGTGATGTGTTTTTCTTTTGGTAAAAATTTAATGTTTTGAGATAACGTGCTAAATGAAGCAGTCTCGGTTTGATCTAAAATGCGGCCTAACGCTGTGAGAGGTTGCACTTCTCAAGCTGTGTAGTATACTTGCTCTCAGTAGTTTTGTCAAAACAGAAGAATCTTTATGGAACTTTACTGACAAAACATGTCATGTACAGATGTAATAGAGAGGCAGCAGTCTAATTTATTGTGTGTGCATGGGTTTCAGAACTTTCAGTAGAGATAATCATTTTAAAAATCTAGCTCTACAGTGATAAAACTTTTAATTTAAATACAATTTTTACTCTCATATTTTGGCCACATCAGTTGACAGCTGTGGTTTTCAGTATACTACACAGTTATCCTGAAAACATATCAATGCCATCATCGCCTGGCTTACTTTCTCTTTTACAATTGAAATTCACCTCATGCTGAGGCATGCTCCTCCATATTTAATCAGTAGTGCAGTGTCCCCAGGCATCTTGAAGAACACTTGCTGAAGTCAGACAGATCAAAATTATTATTATTTTTTTTTTTTGTTCTTTGTTTATATAAATCAAGATAATCCATTGACTATAAAGCCAAGAGATATGGATTCCTAAATATAAACAATTGACATCTTTTGAGAAAACATTATAAGTTTATAACGTAATTTGCAAAGATATGGATGATGATATGATATGATATGATGGTATTCATAAGATTAAATTTAGTTTCAAAGCCCTTTTATTTTTTCTCTGGTTAAGACTTATTTTGGACTCTGACTGAATATTCAGTCTACTTATCTCAAAGGCGAATGTCTGATTAGGTCATTGGGTCCTGGGTGATGAGAAGAATGAAAGACGAAAAATTGAAAAAAGTTGATTTACTTGTTCCCAATAATTCGTGTCTCATAGATTTAGCTTCAGGCACTTGTTTTGGAATCATATCAGAACACATTGACCTTAGGTCATTAATCAAATTTTACTTTTGCAGCTGATATCTTTGCTCATAAGTTAGCAAATTGATGA